ATGGAGCAGCAGCAGCAGCAGTAGTAGCCGTATGAAGCAGCAGCAGCAGTAGCAGCAGCAGCAGCTGCAGCGTCCGTAGATAATAACAGCAATGATCCCGTATCAAAGCCACGGCAGTAGAATGTTGTTGTAGCTGTTCAGTGTGAGGGATTTCAACAGGTTTTTTACGGTCCAAGTGATTTAACAGTTTTACGGTCCAAGTGAGGGATTAACTGAGCCCGCAGTCCAAGTGAGGAGTTTAAACTATTTTTTAATTTTATTCATTTATTTATTTAAATTTATTTATATTTATTTATATTTATTTATGTTTATTTATATTTATTTATATTTATTTATAATTATTTATATATGTTTATTTATATGTATTTATTTATTCATTTATTTATTTTTAAAATATAGCGTTCCAGATATAGGCAGTACCATATATGCAGTTCCATGTACTGCATAACAGTTCCAGGTATAACCGTACCATATGAGCAGTTCCAATATAGCGGTTCCATATATAAGCAGTTCCATATGAAGCAGTTCCAGATACGGTACAACAGTTCCAGATATAAGTAGTTCCGATATAAGCATTTCCAGCTATAAGCATTTCCAGATATAGGCATTTCCAGATATAGGCATTTCCAGATATAACAGTTCCGTGAGGGATTAACCTGAGAGCTCACAGACCAATGTAAGGGATTCATTTTGGGAGCCGCAGTCCGAGAGAGATTTAAACAGCGCTTGCAGTCCAAAGAGAGGGATTTAAACAGAGCTCGTAGTCCAGGGAGGGATTTAAACAGAGCCTGCAGGCCAAAGTGAGGGATTAAAACTGAGAGCATGCGGTCCAATGTGAGGGATTTAAACAGCGCTTGCAGTCCAGAGAGGGATTTAAACAGAGCCTGCAGGCCAAAGTGAGGGATTAAAACTGAGAGCATGCGGTCCAATGAGAGGGATTAAAACTGAGGTCTTGCAGTCCAATGTGAGGGATTAAACGGAGCTTGCAGTCAGAGTGAAGATTTAACGGAGCTTGGTTAAAGAGAGCCTGCAGACCAATGCGAGGGCTTTAAACTGAAGCCTGCCCACCAGCACGGGGCCAACTGAGCCTGCAGTACAATGCGAGGGGAATAAACCGTCCGCGGATCTCATACTTACCCACAGCGCCAGAAGACAAGGGACAACACGACGGGACCACACCGTACCGGCACAAGGAGGCAGGGATGCGCACGGCTCCCACCGCACCGGGCTAGACCGGCCGTATGCAGCAGCAGGCCGCGACAAGACGAGCAGCGGCAAACCCGCGGAAAGAGCCCGCAAAGGAGGAGAGCGGCAAAGACCCACGGACCACAGCACGAGACCCGCAGCAGGTGCAGCGACGCGGAGGAGGAGCAGACCACACGCAGCAAGACAGAGGACACCAGGGACACGCACGAGTAAGTGAGAGTAGACGAAAGCGATTCCTCCAGAACGATTCTTTGCGAGGCTGCAGGAGCTTGCGAGGCTTCAGGAGGCCGGTAGTGGGCGTTGCTCCGTTTTTATGCGGCTGCGAGTCGGTACAGATGATTGGAAGGGGGCGTCTGCTGAGTGATAGGCTGGGGATGAGAGCCGGCCTGGAGGGGTAAATTTGGTTAACGTCTACCAAATTGAACTTTCGCTGGCTGCATTTGTAGATTCCCTGCTGGAGTGCCTCCATGTAGTGGTTGACTATTCCATTTTTGTGAATAATCACAGTGTAGACACCGCTGCTCTACACAAAGAAAGGTGCCGACAGTTCTGGTTCGCACCCTTGACACTTGTTGGCACACAGGGCACACCTCAAAAAGCTCCAAAAGGCATTTTTCATAAACAATATAAGTGGACATTTTGTAAGCTGGTGTTGAAGGATCCATGCTATAGTAAAATAGCATACATACATACAAAAACACATACATGCAAACATTAAAATACAAATGACTTAATTTATATATCTGTATGAAATATTAACTGGTATTTCTTTGCTTACAAGTGTCCAGTGTCCTCTGGCATAGCACCTATGGAGTCTTCAGGGTCATATGTAGAATCATGTGGGCTTTGTATGTTCATAATAGAGCTGCCTTCTAAAGACTCATCACCCACTGTTGTACGGGGTCTCTTTATTGGTGATATGTCCTCAATATCAGGCAAGTGGCGTCGCTTTACTGGTGTGGAGGACTGGAAAGCATTCTTCTCAGCCAAGGTAGTCGTGCCAACTCCAACATCTGAGCACTTTGGTGTTGCCAGTGTGCCTTTGAGCAAAATAAATGTTTCATTAAGAACACTTTCACAATAGCTGGCTTAATGTAGTTCTTTGTAAAATTTACTACGTGGCTGTTAAACCATTATACTAACCTGTACTTTTTACATGGGGTTGGAGAGTTTTCATGGAAAGCTGTGTTCCAACTGAGCACATCTCGGGGCTAGTTTGACAGCCTTTGTCAGCAAATGACTGCTTCTGCGTCAGTGGTTTAGGCCTCTAAATTTAACAAAAGTCGCTTATCTTTCTTGTTACAACAGCACACAAACAAGACAAATAATAAAAACAAGTACGATTTCGGCAAAGTGCAAAACAGCAGAACTCACATGACCTGTGAAACTTGACTATGTAACAAGCACAGCACAACACTACACACTAATATATAATATTATACTGCCAAAGAAGGTTACTGCTCACTAGTCCGTGAAGAAAAAGGCAATTCTACACCATAACCACCGTGTGTTACAAACAAGCAGAGTTGTTATTATAGATGCATGGTAATAGCATATGCAAAGAGTGACTTACAACATATGCTAATCCTTGATGTCAGAGACAATACTTAACCACACTCAACATCCCAGATACCACGTAATCATACGCTCCAACACGAGTTAGCCATCACCACAATTATTTGTTGTGAGCAACAAGACTTTAATCTGGGTCACAAGCAAGGAAGCTAACGCTAAGGCCGCTGAGATCGCTAGCTTGGCGCTAGCGATAGCGCCAAGCTAGCTAGGTCTGCGAGGCAATAACGGCCAAAACAAAGTAAAAGACATTCCCGTACTACTTACACGTTTTCTCAGGGATCTTATACACAAAGAGTACACTATAGCTTGCAGTAAAGATGCCAGCAACTACAGAGAATACTAACAGCGTCATTACCAGGGAGTCTCATAGATCTAAAATACAGTTTGTTGTCATTTTAGCTTACCGGAATGCTGTGTCCGTCGTCTCCGTAGATGGAAGGAACTGATCCCTCAATCAGACGTAGTCTATCGGCAAATCCTTCCTGATACTGGCGGAGATTGCTGAAGCAGTCATCATTGAAGTGCTTTGCACAAACAAAAATGACTTTGCCCACAGATGCGGGTAAATGCCCGTTAAAAACAAAAAGCAACCAAGTAGTTCGCAAAGGTTCTGATGCTGGGAGGCGGTGTGAGGAAGTGTGTGGGTTATGACACCCAATAACGGAACATTTGGACTTACTTGCTGGCATCCTTGAGCTTGGACTACAAATTCGCAGCGATATGCAGAAATGGCGGCTTGGCCCAATCGATTAGCCAGACGCCCATGCCCTTATATAGCAGTCTCGCTGCAAATACTGTGACGTAATAGTTTACAAAACGTAATAGAGAAGAGCAAAATCAGAACGGGTTGAAAAATCTTACCAAAACAGAATGTAAAGTGTTCTCTGCAACCCATGAAGAGACTGATTTCAACTTTTTAGCACTCCTAGAGGCTCCAATTACACAACATAAGGCATTTAAGGCACAAAAAGTGGATTTTTCATTATATGTCCCCTTTAAGGTAGAGGCATTAGTAGGGCTAAAGCTACACCATGGACAGGGACAGTATAATAGAATTTTATTTTAGGCTGGGAATGAACTACAAAGACATTTTGAAAAGCATGGCATTGCTAGGAACCATCATCACTGAAAGACATGGATGACAGAGCAGCGGAGAGAAGCTACATCACAGGAGCAAGTACTGCGAACCAGAGAATTGAGATCTGGTGGGGAGTGATGAGAAAAGGAATCGAAACCTGGATCATGACTCTGGCAGAGCTGAAGGATGAGGGATTCTTCGCTGGGGACATTATTGACAAAGCTCTGTCACAGTTCTGTTTCATGCCAATCATTCAGGTAAATAGCCTATATCATGATCAGAGCAAGAAACCCAGAAACCGTACCATCAACTCTAGATTACCTATGTTAAGCACTCTGATGAATAATTTATTGTCAATTCAGCCCCTTTTCTCTCAACCAATTCAATACAATTTATTTTTGTGTAGCCCTAAATCATGACAGTAGTTATCTCAGAGGACTTTACCTTTGATTCCCCAACCCTCCTGGCATTAGCTATACCAGTGGGAACTTGATATGAATGTGCCAGAAAGAACCTTTCTGATCCTGCAAAGTATAATGTATTGTTTTTTTCTTCATCATTTTTTTTATAAATCGCACAAAAGACAAGATTTTCCCCTCGGATTAATTTATTGAAGTGCAATATAACATTTCCACAGCCTTACTTCTACAAGCTTCTCCTTTTGATAGTAAGAGTATTTATTGTTAATTCGATTTTAACAATAGTTTACCACCACTGTGTCTGGGGAAAAAAATCAAGCAATGTGAAGCTTCTTTTACAGTCTCTCTAAAAGATACATTATCAATAACTTATTTAACCATTATCAACAGAAATGATTTCAGACAGATGGTCAGGGGACATGGTAGGTGGATGGAGCTAAAACAAATCCAGGTCAGTAGCAAAATAGAAACATAAATCTAGATAAATAATAGTCCTTTATTGACAAGCAACCTGCCTACGTGTTTTGGGGGTTTCTTCAGGGCAAACAGGAAGTAGAGGCCTAAAGATGAAGCTGGTTCATAAACGTAACTCAATCTATCACATGTAAGCAAGTTGACATTTTAATAAACTTATGTAGAGTCTTGCTTTTCTGGTGCCTTGCTCCATCGCAGTTTGAAGTCAGTCCCAAGGATTTTCTCCTGGAGTCTTTCTTGGAGCTGTTTCAGAAAGAATCAGAGTGAGTGAGGTTGGACAGACTGAACATAAGACATGGACGCACCAGTTTGAGCAGCTGCTCAGAGACGGCTGCATCACTCAGGTCTACGTCAGTCTGGATTCTCATCTGTGTCTGCAACACGGAGCGTCCCTTTCTCACTGCACACACAAGCTCTGAGTCAGGACAATACTCACTATCTATTGTCAAACATGGCATACTGCAATAAAGTGGAAATTATGTAGGAAATTATTTATTGTGCTTTAAACAGACACAAATAATGCTTTATGATCTGGAGAAATAGAGTGAGAGAAATGGTCTGATTCTCAAAGCATCCAAGACCAAGGAGATGATCATTGACTTGCACAAGAGCCCTTCCCATCTACCGGTCACACTAAATGGACAGGAAATTGAAGTTGTACAGTCTTACAGATACCTGGGTAGAGCAGACTCTTCTTCTTGAGAAGACTGAGGTCCTTTGATGTGAGCAGTCGGATATATATTATTATTATTATTATTATTTTTATTTATCAGACTCGAAGTCCATAAAAAACAAACAAACACATCACAAACACAACAGACAAAAATATACATACAGTATGTTACCAGTCTGTTGTCGCTAGTGCCGTGTTCTTTGAGGTCGCGAGTTGGGAGCAGTCTCACCTTAGAGACAGTAACAAGCTCGACAAGCTTATCAGGAAATGTGTTTCTGTGCTGGAGAGAAGGATGAGGGCTCTAATGCAGGGCATTCTGGGTAACTCCAGACACCCTCTGCATGACACTATAGCCGCTAAGAAAAGTATTTGAAGGCTTATTTAATTGCGCTGCATAACGGAACAAGAGATCCTTTGTTCCTTCGGCTGTCAGACTGTACAGCAGACCTGGTTCAGTTAAAAAATATGCACTATTGTTAGTTAGTTAGTCAGTCTTTCTGACTGTTGCACTGAGCCAAAGCAATTTCCAAGTCTTCGACTTCCTGTTACTTACGTGGCAATAAAAATGATTCTGAAATGTTTATAATTGATGTGCTTATGTGTTTATATGGACTTGTTTTTTGCTGCTTGACACCTAAATCTCTCCTACAGGGATCAATACATTTTCTATCTAGAACAGATTTCCATCCAATATTTGTGAGAGGATGGTTGAAGGAAACCCAATTGACCTAAAACAGGAAAACTTTGGTCAGCTATAACTTACAACAGTGAGACAGGAAGTTCCTGGCTCGATTCCACCTCCAGACAAAGCCTCTCTGTGTGAGGCTTTGCATGTTCTACCCGTGTCTGTATAGGTCACTTTTTATTTTTTGCATAATTTATGCTCCACGGACTAATTTTTTAACTGTGAACATGTTTGCACACTTCTTTGAGATTCCATCTATGCCAAATGTAACATGTACATTTCTCCATTGTGAGATCAATAAAGTTTATCTTATCTTCCCTCTACCAGTAAACACATAGTTCAATAGTACAGGGTGAATGTGTGAGTGTTTGTGAGAACAACTGTGGGACTACGGATGGAAATCCCAAGGCTCCAATCTGGTCTATTTACGGCACTCCTCCAGCTGAACGCATCCAAAACATGTGAACTAGTCTGCAGATGGTAGAGGAGTGCAAGTTTTGCGGTTTAACTCTGTCTAAAGACCTGAAATGGGACAAAAATACTACCCGGGTTGTTAAGAAAGGTCATTAGCGTCTCTACTTTCTGCGAAAACTTAGAGAATTAAACACTGCTTGATTGATTCTGCTTAACTTTTATCGCTGCACCATTGAGAGTTTACTTGTTGGTTCTGTGTCTGTGGTTTGGAAACATCACAGATAAAGAAAAGAGAGCTTTAAACAAGGTGCTCCGCTCTACAAAGAGGACTGTGAGCTGTGAGCTTCCTGTTCTGGAGGTTCTTTATGAATCCAGACTTTTAAACTGAGCTTTTAGAATAATCAGTGACTCTTCTGGCAACCCTGGAAAAAGCCATGTTCCAGCTTCTTCCCTCTGGCAGAAGATATTGTTCACTGAGATGCAGGACATCTCGATACGCTAAATGCTTCTTTCCACAAGCTGTTATAAGTTTGTCTGTAAAAATTAACGGACGTAGTAGTCAGCCGGTGCAGCTCCATTCATGTAAACGAGTGACTTCAAAAATTCACAGCGAGTAAACTAGAGTGGTCCCAAAAAATCCACCCCCTCAGCATTGACACACATGTGGAACGGAGCTTTGGGCCAAGAGCCAACTTTTGGTCCATCCTGTAAAGACGTTTTTGAGAGGTCTGCCAATGCTATATGTTAGCATTGGCTAATTCTTCTTCTGGGTCCACCCCCATCGGCCCGGGGTGGTATTGCAGCATGTCAGCGCACATCATTTTGGCCACTTTTGAGCTGGGACCCTCCCCCACTGGTTTGAACAGAGAACTTTAAATGCTCAGAAAATCAGCCAATTATTAAGATGGTAGAACTGGGATTCCAGAGCATGCCCTGATTCCAATTTATAACAGCTATTTTTGGTTTACATTCTATTTCATTGACATGAACATTGATCAATGTATCAGTAAAAACATATTTACATCTGTCTTAAATGTCTCTTGACCAAATCAGGCGCTGACCCGGCTCACAAAAGGTCTTGTGTGAAGCACAAGGGAGCACCAGGAAGTATTCTGGCACGGTGGCTGAGTGGATAGCACTCTCGCCTCTCAGCAAGAAGGTCCTGGGTTCGAATCCCGGTTGGACCAGGGCCTTTCTGAGTGGAGTTTGCATGTTCTCCCCGTGTCTGCGTAGGTTTCCTCCGGGTGCTCCGGTTTCCTCCGGGTGCTCCGGTTTCCCCTACCACTAAAAATATGTACAATAGGTCTGGCATGTGCCTCCTGTACTGGCACCCCCACCCAACAATTGTAAACCGCTTTGAGACTCCGATGTGCAGTGAAAAGGCGGTATATAAATAAAAGCTTACTTACTTACTTACTTACAATCCAGATGTGCCAGAATTTGTTCAAAATTCCTGAGAAGGCGGCCGCTTTGAATTATGTTAGACACAGAGTAAAGGAACACCACTCCCTTACCGCTCAGCCACCGTGTGTATTACATCCACAGGGTGGCGCTTGTTGTTGTCCTGTGTCCTGAATGTTTGTAAGGATAACGTTTTTCGCACTGCAGTTAATGTGCAGACCAAAATAAAAGTGACACTTGAACCGTCTTGTTCTCCTACATTTTTGTAATGTCTGTGAATCATACGAGGGACATGAACCGCCATGTATCACAGAATCGAATCGCAAAAACTATTGTATTGCAATATGTTAAGAATCGCAATAATATTTGTTTCCCAATTATTGCAATACCATAGAATCTTCAAATTTTTGCCAATTCCTTAGTGCTCGTTGTTCTGTGATCTGCTGCTGCTGGTTCTGTTTGATTAGGAAAGTCCAAAATCCTTCTGAACAACAAGGTCTTACAGATCCTTTCTCTACCTGCTTCGCAAAGGTTGACATCAATTCCTTGACAGACTTTAGTGTTTAAAAGCTGTGAGCCTGGCGGGTCATGTGAGCCTAGGCTTTAATCTCACCTCCTAATACTATTCACATGTGTGTTTGAGAAGGTGTTTATAAAAGTCTTTGAGGAACTATACCTCCATGACAGAGAAACTTTTGTGGTTTGGAGCAGGTGTCGTCTTCCATTTGGCCGTCTTCATTCATATGGACACAGTGCTCATTCTTATTTATGTTGTCGGGTGATCCAGGTATCCAATTCCTGAAGCTGCTGTTGCTGAGGTCCGACCAGAGCCACATTTGTCTGTACAGACCGATCCAGGCATTAAGCACTTGAGATAAAGTCGCCATTGCAGCCTGGTTCTCCGCTGCACTTTCAATCTTAGCCAGATCCTGGTAATTCTGTCTGCAAATACTCTGGCAGGCGGGCCATGTCCTGCTTCTGTCATTGACTAGAGTGAAATGTTTGACACCAGACAGAACTAAACACAAAAACACAACAAGAAAAAAGCTTAGGATAAAGTATTGATAAACCAGTTCATAGTTATTTCAGAGTTATTTAGATCCTGTGTTTAGCTCTAAGACAGTGGTAATGAAAGTCAAACACACTCACCTTCGAAACAAAGACATTGTGCATTGTCGGTGCAGTAGTGGTCTCTCCATGTGTAACTTTGAAGCAAAACACATTCTTCATTACCAACCGCATTGTCTGGTCCAGTCAAAGTCCAGTTCTGGAAGCCTCCAGGGCTCGTGGCCCCAGTGACAGACCATCTCCAGGCGTTCGAGGCGTTGGTCATGACTTGAAACCACGCAGCAGGGTCATCATGAAGACCAATCCAAGCAACCTGACCAGCCGGGATGTGGACTCTGCTCAGGTCCTCTGCTCTCTGTACTGTGGCCAGGTCAGTGAAGTGCTCTCTGCAGTACTGCTGAGCCTCACTCCAGCTTTTGGACTTGTTGATGAAATGGTACTCTTCAATCACTTCATGAGCAAATGTAAAGAAGATTGTTCCATGACCTGTGAAAGCAGAGAGAGAACCAAGTGCATGTTCTATTTATTAAGGTGCATTTAAATAACACCTTCAAATCAGAATCTAAACTAAATATAAATCCTAATCAAAAATTCGCACATGTTATGTAATTTTTTTTAAACATTTCCTGTCACATGTCGAGCAGAGACTTTATTATTTCATTCTTAAGTCTCTGCTTGACCTGCCACATGTGCGGAGTATGGATGTGAAGAAACAAAAACATTATTTTTCTTACCACAAAATAGACAGACCAACAGAGCTTTGAAATCCATGTCTGATGACCTCACCCTGCAGAGACCGAAAACCACAGACTCAAAAGAGCTCAACTCAAAACACTGCAGGAATTTATTAATCTGACCTTTTATTCAGTGTGTTATCATTGACCAGAGGAAGACCTCTCTGTCGTGGTCTGGGGGCACAGACTGGATAATAGGAGTGGACTGTGTTTGCCTGATGCAGAAGAGGCAGATTTGAACATAAGCTAGCTGGAGTCGATTTCCTTATATGGGTATTTGTTCTGAGGGCGTAAGAACAAATACCCATATACCCTACAGTTGGAAACTCGCTGAATCGCTAATTCTGACACATTTACAGAAATGTTGATTAATGTACACGGTCCCTATTCAAATAAGCAAAAAATAAGATGGTCAAATTGCATGCTCATTTATAGATTTACAAAGACAATATCATAGTTTAAAGACCAGGATCACAGAGAGCACTAAAACATAGATTGTTTAAGCCCATACTGGTGAGAGTGACACTCTCGCGGTTCATCCATGAGCACTTCTCTATTGGGCTTCATTGAACTAACTATATTGTCCATCTATTTAGAGTCTATGGCCCACATTTATGATACTTGCGCAGAAAACGGTGTAGATTCCAAATACGCAAGATCCAACGAGGGATTTATGAACGTGTGAGATCTGTCCAGATCTGAGCTTACGCACCGCGCTGAAAAGTAACGTATTTATGAAAGTTACACATATAAATACACCTTACACATATAAATACACATAAATATTCAGAAACCGCCTGATTCGTGCCCCGTTTTTATGACAGGTCAGCATGAAAGTCGGTCACAGGAAGACTGTTTGGAAGCCTCAAAAGGCCTGTGCCACGCACTCCTAAGTTTATTCATGTTTGTTTAAAAAGAAATACACGCTACATTATATATACGCGTTTTTCCCCCTAGTGTCTAGATCCACTGCAGCACTCATCCCTCTTCAACTTTAGAAGTGAAAAAATAAATATAATAATGAATGAATATTAATATTTTGGCCTCAGCGGTGGCTCTCATTAACCGAGTGAAGCATCTGCAGTATCTTCCTGTGAATGCAATGGAGCGATCTCTGTGAGAGAGATAGGATGCGTATATGAGTTTGGGAAGTGTCCGTGTTTTCACAGAAAAACTCTGGATTCAAAACGTCTAAATGACGCGCACCGCATTTGAGGAGTTTTGCAGTGGGCACCCGCTGCGCACTGCCCAAAGAGCCAGTGCCTTTGAGCCCGTTGCATCCCATCTATAAACTGCTACATGTGGAGTGCAGGGCAGTGGCTGAGACTGTTGAGAGTGACCATCAGTGTGTTTATGGGGCTGTAGTGATTTCACAACTCTTTTAAGCAACTGTGGTTAAAGTTCTAACTTCATTCTTACATATGCAGAAGCCTGTACTTTTCCACTACTTGTTTTGTCTATCTGAAGGCCAAGCTACAAGCACACCGTGGCAGCTGCTGATTGGAGGTCTCTGTTTCTCCTGAGTATATTACCACTTGCTGTCTTTAACATCCTTGTTAGTGTTGTTCGTGCTGTCTCTACCATTGACAATAAAACATGTCTTCTGTCTGAATTAAAGACACGATCCCAGACTTTGGCTGATTCCTAACAGGGCTTTATGCACAAAACGAATGAAAAAAAAAAAATCATTGCTTTGACAGATGTGAAGGAGGCAAATAAAATATCCACGCGTAATGACCAAGCCCCGGCGATCCAAGATGGCGCCCTATTCAAATGAATGGTTGTGCTCAGTGGCGCTTTGTGACGGCATGGGGGCTGAAAGATTAGCAGAAGTTGCCTGAAACTCTCAAAGATCTATGGGAAACTCTCAAAGATCTATGGGAAACTCGCCTGTATTTGGGCATCGTCTGGTCCTCCCGGTTCTGTGCAGTGGATGATCTCCCATAATGCGTTATGCCACACACGCGTGTGTGGGTCTCACACCAGGTCTCACGCACGTGCACAGAGGGTTTCACGCACGTGCACAGAGGGGCTCGGCCGCGCTCTGACCAATCAGAGCAGTTCATCAGAGCGGGAGTTAGAGCGAGAGCCAGACGAGCAGAGTTTGTGGCACTAAAGTGTGGATTTAAACAAAACCGAAGTATTTAAGAAGAAAAAAAGTTCAGGATGACAAGGGACACTAAAATCCCCACAAAATCCGACCTTTATGAAAGCTGTAGGTTCTCTGTCAGGTTCTCTGTCAGCTGAGGTTGAGCTGTTTTAATATGCATCGAGTTCTATGGGGAAAATTTCTGGGTAGCCCACGTGAATTTAGTCTGGTTCAGTCTGCAGTACCGCGAGAATCCCCCGAGCACATGAGTTATTCAGCTACAAGCTGTAATACCCTATCCAGTTAATATAATAGATCCATGGTAATGACGCAGCGCAGGGCCTGCCACAGATTTACAGACCAATAGATGGGTCACACATCCCTGTTGCGTAAGTTAGTAAGTAAGTCAAATTTAGGCAATTAATTGGCTTTGGAAAAAATCGAATGTGAGAATGTAAAAATTGTGAAATCGAATGAAGGATATTCTGTGAGTTCCAGCAGCACATGAATTATACTTATCAGCAATCATGCAATATCAGCACAGTCTGTACAAGACTTTTACAATACGTATTGGGGGAAACAAATGTAAAATAGTTTTGAAACTTGAATATTGAGCGGAGAGATCCAAAAATATTTTTAAGAGCAAAGTCTGTCTTTGGTGTCTTTAGTGAAAATCGATTTAAAATCGAAAACGTCCAAAACAGGAATTGAAATTGAGATTTAACTTTTTTGCCATATCGCCCAGCCCTTAGTCAAGTGTTTTTGTATAGCGCCTTTCACAGACCAGGATCACAAAGCACTTCTCATTTAAATTTCAAGTTTGAATCTGAAATACGGGAAAACAAAAAAGGAGGAGGCTTAGCTGCCATTTTCAGAGACCACTTTGTCTCCGATAGAATGCCTCTTGGGAAGTTTCCGTCTTTTGAATATGTGTCTTTTAAAATACAACAAAAACAATCTCCTCCAATACTCTTCATTGTCCTATACAAGCCACCACAGTCATGTCACGGTTTTATTGATAATTTTACCGAGTTGCTTTCAGTTGTATGCACAGATTTTGATAGTTTGGTTATTACAGGTGATTTTAATATTCATGTGGATAATGTTGATGACAGAAATGCAAATGAGCTGAGTTCTGTACTTGAATCCTTTGATCTCACTCAGCACGTAAGTGGCCCCACCCACAGCAGAGGGCACACTCTAGATCTGTTAGTTACAAAGGGGGTGAATATTTCAAATGTAAACGTGGTCGATGTTGCTCTTTCGGATCATTTCTGTGTATTTTTTGACATGTGTTTCACTAACAAACCACCAGTGGACTCTGCAACTGTTCGAAGAAGGCGCATAAATGAAAATACGAGTGAACTATTTATGGGAATGATAAACTTTGAGAATGCATCGTATTCTACTGTAGATGAACTGTTTAACTCTGTCACCTCTAGTGTTTTGAATGTTCTGTATACCATCGCTCCTGTGAAGGTTAAAATAGTGAAAAATAAGCAGAAGGCGGCGTGGGCTAAAGCAGACTCGGTCAGGGCACAAAAGAGAAAGTGCCGGAGGGCCGAGCGGAAGTGGCGCAAGTCCAACCTCCAGGTTGATTACGAGATCTTCAAAGATAAGTTGTGCGAGTTTAACCGGGTGCTACGTAGTACGAGAGAAAGGTATTTTTCTGAAATGATTGAAGGCTGCAGCAACAACCTGCGTGTTCTGTTCTCAACAGTTAATAGATTAACAAACCCCCCTGTTCAAATGCCATTAGAGCTTACTTCCAAACTTAAATGCAATGAGTTTGCTAATTTTTTCAATGACAAGGTTCAAGGCATCAAAAACGCCATTGTCTCCAATCCACAGATAACAATCCAACAGCCAGAAAGGCTCTTTGAGCTAACTTACTTTGCACCTGTAAATGATAAAACTGTCCAAGAGATAATCTCCAGTTTGAGCTCCTCCACATGCAACTTGGATGTACTACCCACTATATTTCTGAAGTCTGTTCTGAGCAGTCTGTTACTTTCACTCACACAGATAGTAAACATGTCCCTTCATTCTGGAATGTTCCCAAAGGCCCTGAAAACTGCAGTCATCAGGCCCCTGCTAAAAAAGAGCAGTCTGGATGCTACGGTACTTAACAACTATCGTCCCATCTCAAATCTTCCATTTATGGGGAAAGTCCTTGAGAAAGTTGTCTACCTACAGCTTACTAGATTTCTTATAATCAACAACTCATTTGATATGTTTCAGTCCGGCTTTAGACCCCACCACAGCACTGAGACTGCTCTCGTTAAGGTTACAAATGATATCCGGCTGAACACTGACGCAGGCAAAGTCTCAATCTTAATCTTGTTAGATCTAAGTGCTGCCTTTGACACTGTCGACCATGAGATCCTCTTACAGAGATTAGAGGACTGGGTTTGTGTTGCTGGCACCGCCCTAAGTTGGTTTAGGTCTTACCTTGAAGACAGGAAGTACTTTGTGGAGATTGGAAACTGTGTCTCAGATCATATGGCCCTGACCTGTGGAGTACCACAGGGGTCGATCCTGGGACCTCTTCTGTTCAATCTTTACATGCTGCCGTTAGGTCAGTTAATACGCAGAAACAAAGTTTCCTATCATAACTATGCAGACGACACTCAGATCTATGTCTCACTGACTGCAGGAGAACATGGACCAGTGGACTCACTCCTTCACTGTATCCAACAGATCAGTGAGTGGATGCAAAACAACTTCCTTCAGCTAAACGCAGACAAAACTGAAATGATTGTCTTTGGTCCCCAGAAACAAAGAGAGAGCGTCATCTGTCACCTACAGTCTCTCTCCCTAAAACCTTCAAACAAGGTCAGAAATCTAGGGGTAATACTGGACTCAGACTTAAATTTTAATAGCCACATCAAGTAACATCAGCAGATTTTTACCATCTAAAAAACATTGCCAGGATCAAAAACATAGTG